ATGTTCTTAATAAGTGGGGCTTTTGTCCAAAATGACTAACTTAGCATGCAATTTTTCCTTCGAGGGAAGGCAGGTCATCTGTATTGTGGTCCTATCATAAATACTTACAAAGGGTGTATTTAAACATACTTCAGCTTCTTAAAAATAAGTTTAATCACAAAGATTAAACTAATTTAATGGAAGGGAATACAGAATAGAAGGAAAATTTACAAAATGTGAACACTTAATATTCATTTACAACTTTGCAGTGCTGAGAATTAACCTGAAAGAAACTTTACAACTACCTTGTCTGTATCTTTAGCTTTCAGCAAGTCACCATCTGTCCTTGGTTCTCAGCAGAAAGTGGTACTAGTGGAGCATTGGAAAGTCCCATCTCTAGTACTTAAATGTTTAGAGTTCAAAAACGAGTTTTGTTGTTGTTTTCTTTTTTCTTTCCCCTGCACTTGCATAATAGAAACTCAGGGAGAAATTATAGGGAGATTTTATTTAAAAGCAACACTTTCAAAATATTGTAACATGTAGGCATGCTTATTAAAATGTTTCATTGCAACTCAAACTTACATTTCAGACTTACAAAGCCTTCCTCCCAGCAATGATTGCCTCTAACCATGGACACTTGGTTAGTCTTGCAAGCTTGGCGGGACTTGTTGGAGTGAGTCGTCTTTCTGGTAGGGTATTAAAGCTCATGTTCCTTTAGACACTTAGTTTGTTTCAAACTCTGCAATCAATACTCTATTTTAAAAATATCAATTTTGAGTTTCAGGGTCTTTGCCTGTAGCAAAAGCAAATGGCTGTACTTTCAAACCAGCTGAACTTAAGTAGACCATTCCTTGAAAAAGAGTTTTCCATCTGCTCAGCAGTGCTGTGAAATGGGTTTTTCTGCCAAGGCAGTTAGCCATATAGAAATGATAGCTTCAGTGCTGCTAAAGCTAACCTACAGGAGTTTGGTGGGGAAGAGGCCACTGCTTTGGTGTTTTGTTTAGTTTTGTAAGCATGTTCTCAGCTTAAGCTGAGTGCTGTGCAGGTTTCCCTAATTCCAGGAATGACTAAAATCCAGATATGGTGCAGAAGCACAGGTGTGACACCTCGTTTTGTTTTCTGTCTCTCAGCCATTCATTCAAGAGGACCCACACAGTGATGGAAACCAAGTGTGGAGACTGGGGAAACTCAGAAGGCATTTCTGGAAAATGTACACAAAGGGTGGGGAGAAATGAACTGAGGTGACAGCAGTAAGGAATCTGGCTTCTGGGCAGTGATAATGAAGGCAAATTGAGTTGCAAGTTGAAAGCCCAAGTCTTGAAAGCTTGAGTTGGATGCATAAGAAGTTAGTGTGTGGATCCAAAGTTGAGGTCTGGTATGAAGAGGTGATTGAATCTGCTGTTGTTC